ACCTGCAGCCTCCACTCCCTACCCCTGGCTCTTACACCACTCCCCCATACCAAACTATCAACTACAAATTAGTGTGCCTTCAAGTTACTTGGGGGAGGAGAAATGGGTTAGCCAACCTTATGGTCACATTCCAAGAGACCTGAATGTCCCCTAAGGAGAATGGAGGACAGTTTACCACCATCTCTCTCCTCACCCTCACCCTAGGACAGTCAGTTTTCACTTCTGTGTATCCTCAGGCTTTGAACCCATGGGAGGCAGAGCTCAGAGTCCCAGAGAATGAAGAGCCACCCAGCTGCACACAGCTGTACTTTTTCCATTCTGTAGGAACAGAGTGGTTTTATTGCCTTGTTGGTAGAAAGATGAGGGGAGACCCCAGTTTCCCATGCCTAATCCCCTCCTGACAACCTTTTCAGTAAAAGGCGATCTTGGCCTTAAGCAAGCCCTGTCCATTGTCCTTGTACATCTAGGTTCACACGCCCTCGAAATGCCAGAAGCGATCCTCTTTTTCAGGCCCCTGGGAGGGGTAACCACCCTTTAAGGAGCACATGCTCTTAAGTGTCCTGCACCTTTGAACGAGACCAGCTCACTCAACGAGTGCTCTTGACTCGTCAGCCAGGTCACCAAAAGGGCACCTGAGAGGATTGGGTGGGAGACAAGAAATAAAGAGAATAGAGACAAAAGCTGGTGACAGGAGGGCCTCAGCCTGCTGGCAACAGACTAAGACATCGTTTATTGGATATACAAGGTGTTTAAGGGAAAGCAATTTCCTCATTGTAAGGAGCAACTCCCTAAAGCTAAAACTTATGGGCTGAAGACAAACAATTTCTCCTCAGCAACAAGCTATGTTATACTCAATATAAACCAATGATATAGCTAGGCAAGGTGAAACTGAGGCAAATAGAAACTGTGTACAAGTCCGCAGTAGAAAGTCCCAAGCATGTGAAGCATGGTGGAAAGTCCCAGAGCGGTCATGCATATCGAAAATGCAAGTCCACAGTCCATGAGCAATGAGTCCCTTTGTCCATAAGCTATTCGTATCAGCAAGCTGGGATCTTTACTCTTCGCACTTGCGTTATCTGGAAGCAGTTTAAGGCAGAAGCACTGTCCCAAAGGTCCCCACCAAACCGCTCCAAAGCTGCTCACCCCAGGCCTGTATCTACCTGGAGACCCAAGCTTGCCAACCTAAAGCCTCAGTGTCCCAGGCTGATCCCAGCCAGCTCGCAACACACCTTGCTTTCTCCCACCTTTGTGCAATCTTACTTACCTTCCCTCCTTAAATCCAAATGCATAAAAGACACTGCAAAACTGTCATTCCCCAGAGCATCTGAGATCTTGCTTCCCAGCAATGTCATCAGTTTGGCTCAAAAACACTCTTCTGAAAATTATCTACTGGTTTGGATGTTCTTCCATCAACAGATATGAGAATTCTGTCTTCTATTAAGGCGGACATAATATTTGCAAAACAAACAATTCCACACACCTCACTTAACACTTATTTTGCTTTGCAAACAAGTTATTTTTCACAAAACGTTATTTATATTAGTTTGTAATCAGTTTATAACTTTCATTTAAATATAGGTTAATAAATACACCTTTAAAGACTTTTCAATCCAATTTAGTAAATATTGGCAGATATAAGCAAAACGAGCGAAAGCTCTTTGGGGTCCTCAGTAATTTTTAAGTATATAAACGCATCCTGACAAGAAACTGGACACCGCGGCAGTCCCCATGGAGCTGGACCTGTAACTGGCTGGGTTCACTGCTTGCCTGCTTGGCCAGGACCTTCCACCTCAGGCCACTGGCACCGAGCACTGACTCCTTGTGCACTGCAGGGGCTCCTGAGCCGGCCAGGTCTAGAGGTGTCCTCATCTCTCATCCCAGTTCTCGGTCTGGGGAGCTTTCCTGTGTGGGTTGGAAATCTTGGGTGTGGGGTGGAAATAAACCATAAGGTCCTGGAACCCCTCGGCTGTCACGGTGAGGCTTAGCCATGCCAACAGCCCTGTCCGCGCCCTCCCCACCCCCCAGGCCCCAGCTCTATGGTCCCTCTTCCTGTGTCACTGACCTCCAATGTGGCGCGCCCCCCCCCCTTAGAAGACCCTGGGGTTCTCTCCATCCTCTCAGACCCCTGTGCCCTCACCCAAATCCACAGTGTCTGATGTCAACTCAAGCACCATGCTGAATGTGTCGCCCTGATGTTAAAGCAGGTTTTCGGCTTGTCAGTTCCTCCCAGTCTCTTCTTGGTTGGAAGCCATGTGGCAGCACTAGTTCCCCTGAGATGGGCCCCTGCCCCACCGTTACAAGCAGATGAGCTACTAAAGCAACAGCCCAATGAGGGAGAGATGGAGCTAGTGCCTGAAGAGAGTGTCAAGGGGGCCTCTGGAGGAGTCTTACGTGACCAGAGGGAAGAAGGCTGCTTTTCTCTGGGCGCTGTGCTCCGCCAGCAGAGAGGGCCAGGGCGTCTCTACCTGACTCTGAAGCCAAGGAATTGGGGCTGGTGGCGGTGGCGGGTCCCCGGCCTGTAAAGGACCAGGCCACCCTCGGGCACCATGATCCCACGGGCCCCTGTGAACGCTGGGCAGATGAAGAGGGGGCTGTCGTCAGACCCCAGCCTGAAGAAGGGTCTCAGGGGCCCAGAGAAGAGCGAACGGGGACACGTGTAGAGGTGCGACCTGTCCCTCATGTTATAGAAGGAGATGTCTCCAGCTTCGTAGTCCAGGAAGATGCCCACCCGGCGGAGGCGCTCTTTCAGCGGAAGGATCTTCTCAGGGGCGCACAGCACGCGGTACTGGTTCCCGAACATCTCCAGGGTCCAGAAGCCGTTCTCCGGGACCAGCAGCGCCTCCCCTTTCCTCTCCACGCCGTCCCTACAAACCCCCACGGCCCAGACCATCACGTTCTCAACCTCCACCTCCCAGTAGTGCCTCCCGGAGGAGTAGCTCTCCCCGCCCAGGACGCACGGCCGGCAGTCGAACCTCTCGGGATTGTCAGGCAGGCTCTGCCTGGAGGGGCCCCGCCGCACGCTTCTGCGGTCCTCCGCCAGGAAGAGCTCGGGGTGGGCGGTGTCTGGGTCCAGGACCACATCGGCTGCGGAGGAAGTCTCAGGTTTAGGCCTGGGGCCTCAGAGAGGGCCCCCAAAGCTGGGGGAGACCCCGCGGGGCGGCCTTTCCCACGCGGGCCCCCGACCCGGACTCCAGGCAGAGAGAGAAGCACGGAGTGAGGCTGCGCTTCTCTGGCCTGAGCGGTGGAGGGTAGTGGGGGCTCTAAGAAGTGAGAACGGTTAGAGAATGAGCTGGATTCATGGCTCCCGCCGTCTCTCCAGATTCTTAGATCTGCCCCTTTTTCTATTCAAGACATGCGCTCTCTGGGACCGTAGTTGGTTGGAAGCTTTCCAACTTGGCTTAAGCCCGCGGAGGCCCTGCCCCCTCCCTGCGCCCCACGAAGAGGTTGAGGCCTATTTCTGGTCCCTGCATGGGTCCTCTTATGTTCCACCAGCTTAACCAGGTGACAACTGACTTCAGTGACCAACAAAGTGCCCTTCCTAGGCTAAATAAGGAGGATGATGTCTCCAAAAGCAAACCTGCTGCCTGAGAGGTGTGTCTGGTGAAAGGTGGGGGAACGATTTCCATCCAGTTTTGCTTTGAAAACCTGGGTCTGAGGGACGGCAGATGCGGCCTCTCTGGATACAGGAAATGCTTGCGACCCTGACATTCTGCAGACCTCTCCCCTCTACAGTTATCATTCCCGAGTCAATCTAAGCTTCTGTTGTGTTCAAGTGGCCCCCTTTCCCCACACTGACATGCCTGACTGTGACAATTTTGAAATTCACCTAAAGAGGTAGGGTGCAAGTACCATGGTATCTACTGTGTTTCCCCGAAAATAAGACCGGGTCTTATGTTAATATTTGCTCCAAAAGATGCATTTTATTCATTTATTCATGTACAAAACTCTACATGATTCAAATACAGTCATGTCTGGCCGGCGAACTTAACTGGGCTTATTTGGGGTAGGGCTTATATTACAAGCACCCTGAAAATCATGCTAGGGCTTATTTTCCAGTTAGGTCTTATTTTCAGGGAAACACGGTAGTAAGGCCTGGATTATTTGGCGCCTTTGAGCAGAAGGTGACAAATCATAAAATGCAAAATGTTCATGGAGGATACGCAATTGGATTCTCTGCGTTCCCATGAGCCCAACCCCCTCCCCTCGAAAGCTGGACATAGCATCAGTGTTCTCCTGGGGCAGGAAGGCATTTCTGGCATGTGTTTGTCTACCCCTGAGACAGGCTTGGAGATGCTTACTGCCTGTCCCACATATGGTGCTTCAATTGTGCAGCATCTGTATAGTCTCCCAGGTTATAAATAGCTTAGCCAATATCATTTTCTTTCAAATTAATCCAGGATCCAAAGGGCAACAACTACTGAAACATAACCTTTGGGGAGGTTACCTCTGTGGTCAACCTCTGGTAATCATGGATGAAATTACGCTAAAGAAGAAAGGACAGTGAGAAGAAAGTTGACTAAGAGCTACAGGAATTCCCTGACAGAAGCACAGGTGTCCTGCACCAGAGGGGAGGGGATGCTGCCAGTGAACCGGCCCTAGCCCTTGCTGCCCCCAGCCTGCCTTAGGTCCCCTTGTGCATCTCCTCTCTTGTGTCCTGTTGACTGGCTAATGGGGAGAAAGCTCAGGGTCTGAGGGGGTGTCAGAGGCGCTCACCAGCATGTACGATGCTTCTTCTCCATCCTGCAATGGGACAGACAGAGAGGTGAGTGTCACCAGACAACTGTAACCAAGCAGAATACAAACTGTGCGTGGAGTTGTCAGGAAATGCTAAACTTACGCAATTCTTCTTGAAGTTGCTCTGAAAAACACAACACAACAAAACAAAACAAAACAAAAAACAGAAACAAATGAATATCTTCAACAGAAGAGCTAGAGAATTTGAGTCTGGATTAAACAATGAAGGCCTAGCACTTTCTATGAACCTGCCACCTCCCTCCCCCACACCCAGGAAATTATCCAAATACCAGAAATGATATATCACCAAGTTGCTGGATTTTGCCAGTATGTATTTAGGTTTGCTTTTGTTCAACAATGTAGTGCTCTCTGTAGCCAGGTGAATGGATTCAACGTTTGCAGAATGAATGAAAGTGAGCGCCAAGGGATTAACAACAAGGATGCCAGAGCTCCAAGCCCTAAGCTGCTGCCTCTTCATCCTCTCTGCTTCCCAGGCTTATAGCTGCCTGAGCTGTGTCCTTTGAGCAGAATATAAACTGTGCATGGAGTTGTCAGGAAAAGCTAAACTTACGCAATTCTTCTCGAAGTTGCTCTGAAAAAAACAAAAACAAAAACAAAAACAAATGAATGTCTTCAACAGAAGAACTAGAGAATTTGAGTCTGGATTAAACAATGAAGGCCTAGAACTTTCTATGAACCTGCCATCTCTCTCCCCCTCACCCAGGAAATTATCCAGATACCAGAAATGATATATGACTGGGTATTGCCAGTATGTATTTAGGTTTGCTTTTGTTAAACAATGTAGTGCTCTCTGTAGCCAGGTGAATGGAGTCAACATTTGCAGAATAGGTGAAAGCGAGCCCCAAGCCCTAGCGGCTGCTGCCTCTTCATCCTCTCTGCTTACCAGGCTTATAGCTGCCTGAGCTGTGTCCTTTGAATGACAGTGAACTGTCCTCCTGCTCTTTTACCTTTTATTAGATGTTCTTTCTCTTTTTCCAACGTTCTCTCCCCAGTTTCTTACGTGCAATTTCTTTCTCTTTATTTTCAAGGTCTTTTTCCATTGACAGAGTCTCTTTATCTCTGTAGAGTTTCCTGATAAGACAGATGCTCCCAGTGATGAGGAGGAACAGAGCAGGCAGGGTGACAGCCAGGATCACCGTCCAGGGAGAACTGCTGGGAATAATGGGTTCTGGAGAGAGGGCCAGAAAAGTCCCACTTAGTGAGAAAAGAGGGACTCAGGGTGAGAGCGCCCCTCAGGATGAGGAGCTTCCTCAGGTCCCTACTCTGTTGGCTTCTCTTTCAGAGACCTCAGGTGAAGAAAAAGGCGTTGGCTCTGCACTGCCTTCCCCACACCCCCCACCATGGTGGCCAGGGCTGGGGGCTGATGAAGTTAATTCATATATTGGCACCCACAGAATGGAGGCCACCTCAGTGTCCCACGTCACAAATCTACATCCAAGTCAGCCTGCACGTATGTATGGGAAACCACATTGTCAAGGAAACCTAACAACGCCAACCCCGATCCTTGCCCTCGGAAACAGGACCTGCAGGCCTTAGGAGGAGACCTTGACTGCCTCCCCAGTCACACCTGTTTCCACCTCTGTAACCCTCGCTCTTGCCCAAAATCCCTCAGGAAGAGTCTCCACTGTTGGCAAGACCCTGTACTTCCCTGATCCAGAGATGGTTTTCCCTTGAACACAAGACGTCAAACTCGTTACTAAATTGTCTTAGTTTTGTCATTTGACAGGGCCCATGAGATAGAAAAGCATAAACACCTGGACTCCCCGTGGGCAGAACCAGGATGGATAAAAGCTAACCAGCGCTGCAGTGTCAGCACAGCCACCATCCTGGTAGAAGCCACCATCACTCTTGCCTGGAATACTGCAAAGCCCCCTCCCTGCTTCCACCCACATCCTGTGCAGCCTGTCCTCAGCACAGCAGCCCAAGTGAGATCATGCTGTTTCTTTGCCCAGAACCCTGTAATGTTTCCTATCTCACTCAGACTAAAAGCCAAAGACTAATTGCCAGATATGCTCCTGCCTTGGGTCCTTTGCATACGCTGTTCTTGCTACCTGACTTGCTCAGACCTCAAATATCTGCATGGCTCTTTCCTCACTTGCCCAATGGCCATCTTTTCAGTGAAGCCGTCCTTGACCATAGTATTTAGAATTACAACTCTCCGTGTCCCTAGCCCTTCTCTGATTAACTTCTCAACAGTGCTTATCACCATCTGATATAATACAGTTAAATAATTATTGCACTTCTTGTTTTAATTATCTTATTGATTACTCTCTGCTGCTCTAGATTGTGAGCCCTCTGAGAGTAGGAATCTTCATGTGTCTTGTTCACTGATTTTTCTCTGGTGTCTAGAACAGTGCCTTGAACATTTATGATTCTTGCTAAGTATTTGTTGAATGAATTTACGAATGTCTGTAGATAGAGAGCTCCCCCAGGTCTATCCCTTGGAGAGTTGCATGGGCAGGAAGGGAGGCCTCAGCGTACAGCACCACCAGTGTAGACAGCCACCTGTCCATGCCACCCTCCATCTTTTATGATTTTTCTAAATGTTTTAAAATGTGCTGCAGGATAAGAACCACAGCAGGAGGGAAACTTTCATATTCACCCACAGAGAAGAAGCTCTGACTCGTGTGTTTTGAGACTCTCTGATGGTCCCTTGTGACAAGGGGAGAGGCCTCAGCTCAGCTGCAGCCTGCAGCTCTTCAGGGCTCAGGACCATTCCACCCTGCTCCCCACACCAGCTCAGGCTCCAATCTGTCCTCTAAGGATCCTGCATCCATGCGATGGGCCTCCAGGGGGCAGGGAACTGACCTGGAATGAAAATCACGGAGTCCTTCTCCTGGCCGAGCAGCGTGTTGTTGACAGAGCAGGTCATGTTCCTCACAGAGCAGTCCCTGACGATCACAGCCATGGTGACTCTGAAGAGGCCATCCGGGTCCTCAGTGTAAGTCTCCTCCAGGGCGGGCACAATCTTGCCGTAAGGGTCCCTCCACACTGCGCGGGGCTCTGGGTACCACCCCACAGATGTGCATTCCAGCCAGAGGCCCCCATCCTCGTGGTCCCTCATTTCAATGAGGGGCTGGGAGCCCAGGCCTGGGGGCAGAGAAGCATGTCTATATCTAATTCTAAAGCATGTTGCTGACAAAGACCCTTTGAGATCTAAGAGGGAGCATGAGAATAATCTGTAGGGATTGAGCATTCTCCCCTGCTCAAGGCTGCAGCTGAGTTCAGTGTGTGCTTCTTCAGACTCCATGGCCACAGCTCAGGGGAGCAAACCCACTCAGTGGACTCTTGGGCAGAAGGCAGCAGCCCTCCCCAGTTAAAGGGATTCTAGGCAAAACCCCACCTGCTGCAGTGGGCCTGAAGCCTGGAGAGAAACTTGCCCCAAGAGTTACACTGTGAAAATGCAACCAAACAAAGCCCAACAACGTACCTGCCACTATCAAGCGCATGATGGCCTCCTCATAGGACCTGCCCTGCTGGAAGTAACAGCGGTACACGCCGTTGTCGTGGGCCGTGACGTTGTGTATGGTGAGCGCCACGCTGCCCCGGCTGATGTCCTCGCTCACAAAGGTTGTCCGGCCGCGGTACTCCTCCATCTGCTCCTCGGTCCTTTCTCGCCCGCCCTTGTACACCAGCACCGCCGGGGAGAACTGCGACCGGAACCACCGCACCTCCATGTCCTCCGCACTTTTCTCAGGTGACAGGTGGCAGTGAAACGTGGTGTTTTCTCCCACCATGGCCAGGATGGGATTGGCTGGCCCCACAACAGTAAACTTGGCTGTTCAGCAAAGGGGCAGAATCAGACGGGCACCAGCCACCCACCATCTCAGGCAGGAAAGGGAGAGGCTATTCCAGGGGGTGGACATAGAGGCTCCCTGGGCTGAGGACTCTGGGGGACCAGTAGCCAGCTGGGGGCAGCAGATACCTAGGGTATCTGGTGAGGCTGCGAGTGCTTGGTGAAGAAACGTTGAGAAGCACACACCGAGCACCCTACAGGCCCCGGGCTTACAGAGGTTTGCTCCTGTTCCCCAGTCTAGCCCAGTGCCTGGAGCATAGTGGGAACTCGCACTGTCGGGTCTGGTAGCCACTAGCTAGTCCCACCTGAAAATGTGCTGTAAATGTAAACTACATATACAACATTTGAACATGTGGAATAAAAAATGTGAACAGTCTCGTAATATTTTACACGAATTAAAAGCTTAAATGGTATTTTGATTATGTGGAGTTGTTTGCATTTCTGCCCCAGGCGTCCGTATAAATTCAGTGCACATGTGCAGAATAAAAGGGTAAGAGCGCGCCGCGGCGGTCCCTCTTCACTCTGCCCGTGCGCAGAGGGGAAGCAGAGACTTTCCTGCCTTGACAGGAGCTCCCCTACCTGAGGCCAGTGCAAAAAGGCGCAGGAGGGCGAAGAAGAGCAGGGAGTCAGGCCGAGAAGCCGCGGACTTCATAGCACCCGGAACGAGTCACCCAGGAGGCGCAGGACCGCAGGCTGGGGGCGCAGACGTGGGGAAATCAGCCAGGGAGATCTGGCACTACAGTCCTGGCCTCCGCAAACGCCCTGTTGGTGCCATCAGCGCCCCACTTCTGTCCTGGACACCCCCCTCCTCTCCCGACTGATTGACTTGTTGAACATTCCATGGAATAAGCCAACATACAACGATCCGCCCTGCTCAGCTCACGTCTCGGTCAGAGTTGAGTTTCTTCAGTTGTCACCTGATATTCTTCCACACCTTCCTCTGTCCTTCTCCCGTCCTCAGGCTGTGCGACCCCAGGGGACGCCAGGCGTGGAGCCCCCCCAGGAAGCCCCTCTCCCGCACCCGCCTTTCCCACCCGGGTTGCGTCCCCCCATCCGCCCCGCCTGGAGCGGAGCGCCCCCTCCATTCCCACCTGCCAGAATTAACTTCTGCGTCTTCCTCCCTCCGCGGAAGCTCAAACGACGATTTTCTGGTTGTCCCTCTCTCTAACCCGTCCATGGGTACGGTCGCAACCGGAGAGCAAACCGTCCCTAACGCGGAGGAGAAAACTTCCTCTTCTCCCATCAGTGACTGTGCGCTGCTGGAGACCCGGGACCCAGCGTCCTCTGTGATCAGAGTCCCAAGATTTCCAGTGATGGTTCAGAGCCCAGGATTGGCCGGCGGCGGGCCAACCAGCCAATGGCATCCCTGAGCCTACTCCTCACCAGTTGCTAGGTAGAATACACAGAAACAGTTGACGCGTTAAAAAAACCCAACTATAAATAGCCTTTTGAGATTATCTACCCTTTTTCGTTCCTTTTTCTCTTTTCAGAAGCAGGATTTTGTATTTCACTTCATTTATTTGCAAAGCCTTACGATTCCCCGCAGATTGTGGCTGGCGTCGCTGCTAACCACGAGGAGGGAGGGTGTGTGTGTGTGTGTGTGTGTGTGTGTGTGTGTGTGTGTACGCGCAGAGGTTGTGGGTGGGAGTGGGCAGATGATGAAATGAACATAAGCAACCCTTGTACTACAGCCAAGGAAGCTCTTTCAAGTTGCTGGGTTTGTGGGGGTAATGGGCAGGGGGAGACGCAGGGAGGGGTTGGGGGTGGAGAATGAAGCCAGACTGACAGCCGCAGCTGCTGTTCTGGGGACCTCGTCATTCACTCAGAAACCACGGAGTGACGCCAGGGTGCTGTGAGAGGCCAAAGCCCTTCCCCTCAGGCAGGTGGCGCCCCAGAGCCTGCAGGAAGTTGGCCTCGAACGAACCTTCTGGGTGGGCTTCTCGTCCGCCGGTCGGTGGGCTGGTTGAGTGCAGCGCCTCCTACACCCACAAGATGCTCCCCTTTCTGTCTCACAGACCCCAATCGGGACCTTGTATAGCTTTCTTCTAGAATAATCTTCCCAAGGCACATTTGAGAACATTTCCCACAAGTCCCTAAATGCGTCTCCCAGTTTCTTTCTGACTCAATTCAATACTGCAATTAGCACACCAGCAATGGCTCCATGGGAGCCTTTCATGCCACTACTGTGACCCCACGGCCAGCACTCTGTTCCCCATACCATGCCCTACTAATGAGGTGTTCCCTCCATTCCGTTTCCATCTCGGGAAATCCCACCCAGCCCTCCCATCCATCTCCTCCAAAAACCAGTCTGGCCGTCCCCAGGCTGGAGTGTGCTAAGCTTCTTCTGACTGCCAGTAACGAATGGCAACTTCAGTCCCCCACTGCAGGAAACTCAGTTCTACCAACAATCAATGAGCAACAGGCAGCTTTTTCCCTAGATCCTCCAGAAAGGAAGGAGCCTGCAGATACCGTGCTTTCAGCCTGGGGAGACCCCGGTTGCACTCTGACCTGCAGATGAATTTGTGTTGTTTTGGGTCTCAAGGTTTGTAGTAATTTGTTACAGCAGCAATAGAAAACTAATACAATAAGAATTGCATGAGAATGTTGCAATGAGGTAAACTGTGACACTGTAGTGAGTAAACTGTGGGTGCTTAAAATCTAGAAGAAGCTCAGTTGAAGAGTGAAGATTGTTAACAAATTTATTTAACAAATGTAACTGGACAACCACATGACAGTAGAGGGGTACAGTGGTGAACAATAACAGTGGCTTTTCCCCAGGGCCCATTGGTTGAAAGAAACATCTGTATGATCAGGGGTGGAGTGTTCCTCTGCTGGAGATGGGTTGAACAGTGTGAGAAAAATTCCACTGAAGTCATCTAGCGTCCTTTCCTCCCAAATTCGTGTCCTACAGACGACCTTTAGGTATGACGTTGGGCTTCCTAGAGACCTTCAAAGTAGACCCATGATCATGCATCACATTGGCAGGTGGGCACATGTGCCCATTATTGGCTAAGACGTGGGCCTGTAGTTGCTCCCAGCTGGACAGCTTTCTGTGTGAACCACGTAAGTCACTTACCTTGGTCATGCCTCAATTTCCACACTCTCCAAATAAGGCTGCTTCTCAGGGTTGTTGTGAGGGCTGGTGAGAAGTTCCCTTGGAGCACAGCATCCAGCACATTTTATACTGTAAACAATAGTAGCTACTATTGTTCAGATCCTGCTGTCATCTACCAGCCGAGTTACCTCTGGAGCATTAATTCACTTTTCAGCCTCCTTATCTATACAAAGGTAATAAAACAGTACTCACTTGTCATGTGGAAAAACTGAATTAATATTATTGAAGTGCTTCGCTCAGTGTGTTCTTTCAGTAAATATTTTATTTTATGAGTTCCTGTTCAGGACGAGGCCTTCGGTTCCAGACTGGGCAGGGAGCAGCGAAGATGTCACTTCAGTTGTACCATCAGTTGAGCTGGGGAACTCGGGGGTCTCCAGGGAAGGATCAGACACTAGGTCAGTTGCAGGTGAAGCCCCCACTCCTTTCTGCGCTGGGCAAATGGTCAAGGCCGTGGGGTCCAATGTCAAAATCCTGAAAACAGGACACAAAGGCCCAGAGAAGGACGTGTGTGGGAAAGTGTAGAGATTTGATCCATCGATGGCATTGTAGAATGAAACCTCTCCTGTCTCATAGTCCAGGAAAACCCCCACTCTCTGAGGAGGGCTGGCAACTGTCAGTTTGGTGCGGGGGTCAGTGAGAGCCTGGTAGTCACACCCGATAGACAGCCCCATAGTCCAGAACCCATTCTCGGGGGTCATTTTCACGGAACAATTTTTCTTCACATTCTCCATACACACCCCAATATGCCACTCTTTCCTGTCCCCCACCTCCACTTCCCAAAAATGTCTCCCCGACGTGAAGCTCTCGCAGCCGAGCACACAGCAGAGCCACTGAAATCTCTCAGGCTTGTCTGGCACACTCTGCCGCGCTTCTGCCCGCCGCAGGCTCCTCTGGTCCTCGGAAACAAGGAGGATGGGGTTTGCAATGTCTGGATCCAGAGTCACATCCTCTGCAGGGGGTTCGGAATGGTGTGGGGTCAGCCACTCTTCTCAGACCTAAGCCTCAGCCTTCGAGGTCTGGGTCTGGTTGAGGAGGCCCAAGCCCAGGGCCCGGTGTCCCCAGACTACCCTGGATGTGGCCCTTAGCAATGCCAAGAGAAACCCAGGGGTCTGTGGGGAGGGGTGGGGCGAAGAGGAGGGTTAGGGCATCTTGCATCTTCCTCCTACCTTTTCCTGTTCCTCTCCCTAGGTGACTCTGCCCACCCGTGCTTTCCTCACAGAGACTTACATTTCAGCCCTTGCCCCACCCTCCTGAGCTGAATGACTTTTCCTTCTCTGCAGTCTCTTTTTCCATAGACCCAGCTACAGAATCTCTTGGAGTCTCAATATGCTATCTGTAAAATGGGGATAAAAATACCAATCTCTAGGGTAGAACAAGACAGCGCGTGTTGTATGTGTCGCCCGGGACAGGGTGTGTGCAGTGAGTGCTCATGTGGCAATGATATGGGACAAGCCAGTAGCTCCCTCACCCCCCCTCCACTGGACAACTTTTAAGTTTCCTTTCCCATAGAGATTTTAAGTCTCCTCTTCCTTAGTTTCTTAGCCCCTGGCTTTGATTAATCAGTTTCTGAATGCTAAAGATTGCCCCTAGACTGAATCACAGAATATCTCTCACCCACCCCTGCTTTAGATAACTACTTAAAAGCCTGACTTCCCAATATTTCCCAAGCCATTCAGGACCTAACTCTTGGATAATTCCATCCCAGAGACTAAATAGGTTTCAACATTTCCCCAGGCCAGTATACTTGTTGATTGTAAACATTAAAGCTTAATGTTCTTTCCAAGCCCTACATCAATAGCTTTGAGCTCTGCTCTTTAAGAAATTTGCTAATTAAAATCTATTTGTCCTCATTTAGGGGCCTTGGGGATACAGAGGGCACCCCAGTAAGATTGCCAGTTGCAACTAAAGAAGCCAACACGGTCTTCCAGGTGGATCTTGAAACCCCTTCCTCTCATCTGAGATCAAAAAGGGTGAGAGAGCTCTGTGAATCCCCCAAATAGGCAGGGACAGCTCTACGCCCCTGCCCAGAGGAAGTAGATACAGAAGCAAAGACCTCCTGCCCTTCAACTTTCCACAGAGACTTTTATGGGGATCACATCTCTCAAGAGGAAAACAAGGCAGGCATTTAGAGGCAGGCATTGGGTCTCTGCATTCCTGCACATCTCACAGAATGCATCACCCAAAAAACCTCCTCTCTCTACCCAAAACTTCCCCTTTGCATTGTAATTATCCATCCCTATGGGGAAACAAATGGGTACAAAATACCTGACAGGATTAGATCAGTCACCCACACCTGCACAATAAAGGTCATAATGACCTTCATTTCACCCGGGTCTCGTTATAACATTCTTTTTTTTCATTATAACGTTCTTATAATATCATACAGTTGCTCGGAAGTTCATTAATATCATTATAATAGACTGAATTCTGGGAATGAACATGTGCAGTCTAAAAAGATGAGGTAATATCCTCTTGTCAATCACAGGTGTCAATCAAGTGGTCCCACACCCAGAGAGGAACAGCCCATTCTAGAGAAAGAAGAGATAAAAACTCCAAGTCCTGGTCAGTCAGTGCCTTTTGAGCTTCTTTTGTTCAGCCTGCTGTAAACTCTTTGGAGTGTACTTTCTCTTCTAATAATGGCCCTTGAGCCATTCTCTACTGCTCAGGCCTACTTCTGCTTCTTTGAAATGTATTTTTTTCTTCTAATAAACTGTGCTTATCTGCAACTTTACCTTTCTGGTTCGCGTCTCCATTCTTCGGTTCCACGAGACCACAATCCCAGTACATACACACAATCACACATCAAAAAATCCCGTTTCAGCAATGGAGGCCTTGCCTCTCCTGTGCTCCCAGGCCCATACTCACCTCTCTCCACCCTCTTCTGGGCCCCAGGAATCAGTCCAGTACGGACAGCATCACTGGGCTCCCTTGCCTCGGTTACCTGTTGAACTTGGCCAAGGGGAGGCTAGCTGGACTGGAGGGAGACAGAGAAGAGAGGCTCTTTCCCCACTTCCTCCCTGCCAGTGTCGGGTGGTGATGCTCTCACAAAGCATGGCTGCTCTCAGGCAGCCATCCTTGAGTTACAGCTCCCTCTGGGCTCCAGTAACTGCTCCCTATCCCTCTGACTTCAGGCCTATGGGTGGTGACAGCTCCCTGTCATGAGCGTGGGGGCACCACTCACTGCTTGTTCGTTTCCCTTAACTGCACCCCTGCCTTTGTAAATAGTTCCTTCTCTGAACCCTGTTCAACCACTGGGTAGATATGGCTGTGAACAAAACCAGCTCCATCTCTGTGTCCCGATTTCTTTCATCTTTTCATGCTGTGACCTTTGAGCAAACTCACTGTCCTTAGCAAGCACACCAAAGCCTTCTGGTTGGTGATTATGTGTGTTCCTTACACTGACATGATGTAGCCATATACTCGTGTATGTATTTTTGTTAGTAACAGCTGAAATGGCAAGGCAACTGAGAGAGACACCAAACTGGTGGCAGTATGGATTATAAACACTCATCCAACACAAGGCCACCAGGAGGTGTGGCCCCGGCTCGAACCGCACACTCTTTGTCCCTTGGTCTTCTCAATCATCAGACCCTGCGTTATACTATTTAAAAAGTACTGTAATGGGTATGTTAGTGGAGAATATCTGTGCAGACTGGTCTTCTGTCTGCTCCCACCCTTCATCCCTGTGAGTAAATTACCCTATAACAAATTCTGTTGTGTTCTATGGAGTTGTCTTCATTGTTTCTTGGTCTGAGAGACCTTGTTCCTGCCACGGCCTCCACACTTGTGTCCCACCATCAGACAACCGCCCGTATTAAACGTGCCATCTCTTTCCTGTGGGTGTTTTGACCAATACACATTTCTTACCTCATCCCGTCTTTACCTCAACCCTCATATAGTGGGAATTACCATCCTCATCTAAAAACGAGGAGACTAAAGCTCCAACACATGAAGTCACTTGGGGACACACAGCGGCAGGAGGTGCCAGAAGCTTGGGAAAGGCACAGACCTGTCGCATGGCCTCTCTGCTTGGTTAAGTGACAGCTCACTCTCTCTCCTATAGTGCTAGTCTGTATCTCTCAGCGCCACCCTTCATGCCACTTCCTTCTCATGAAGATCCTGGGAAGCCAGGACAGCAGTGGTCCTGGTCCCCTGCGCTCTCAGCAGGAGGGGCCCTGGGCATGGGCACACCTTCGAGTCGCCCACCCGGAACTCTCAGTCCTGGGGACTTTTCTTCCAGGAATGTCAAGATTTAGACAAGAGAAAGGGAGTGCAGTCCCTCAGCTGTTGTCCTGGGGACACAGTGATTCACTCACCAGCTTGGAAGAGCGCCAGCTTCCACTCTGGAAGGGAGGAAGGGAGGAAGGAAGGGGACACAGGTAAGCAGGGTCACTGCTTCTGCTCTCCCCCCACTTCTCCTCACTAAGCCTCTTCTCTCTCCCCTCCTCAGTCCCTCCCAATGGCCGGCTTCCTTCACCTACAGCTCTGCCCCATCAGTCATAAAACGTATCAAAACGTGTGCCTTCCCTCCACCACTCTGCAAGCTTTGCTAGGGTGTCGGGTGTCGGGTGTCAGCGTGTGTGTCAGCAGGTGGGAACGCTGTATCTGAAGGTCCTCTCTGAGGCTCTAGAAAAGGGGGGGTACCCTCAGAAAACGAGCCTCTGGGCTAGATCTGATTGCTTCTCACCCAGCAGAGAAAAGCTTTAAACACTTTGTACACGTGTGCCAGGAACCCAGAGGAGATCAGGGTGACTCACCTGCATAGGCCTGCGACTTCTCCCCACCTACACAGAAGACAGGTAGAGATGTCACCTGAGCTGTCATTTCTGAGTCCTTTCCCTTCTCTTCCTTTTGCACCCATCTAATCTTTTTGGACCTCCCCCCCCACCTTCTCCCTCTGCCTGCTCAGTCCTCCCCTCCCCCCTCCTCAATATTAAGTCTGGGACATCAGTTGCATCTAATGACACCGCAGGCCCTGTGCACGCACTCCCCTAGCCGTCACCAGCACATCTGTTCTGTGTGTATCTATACAGCAGTCCGCCCTTCTCCGCAGTTTCAGTTACCTTCTGTCAGCCTCGGTCGGAAAATGTGAAATGGAAAATTCCAGAAAGAAACAATTCATACATTTTTAAATTGCACACCGTTCTGACTGGCGTGATGGAATCTCGTGCCTTCCCGCTCCCACTCGCCCCATCCCGAGTTCTGCCTTCGTCCAGCGTGTCCACGCTGTAGACACTCCCCGCCGTTAGTCACTCTGCAGTCCCGTGTTATCAGATCGACTGTCGCATACCCGGTGCTTGTGGTCAGGTCACCCTGGTTTTGCTTAATAATGGCCCCAAGCCAAAAGCAGTGATGTTGGCCATTCAGAGAGCCAAAGAGAAGCCGGAAAGGTTCCCTGAATATCCCGGGGGCAGGCAGCCCGGCCCCTCCGTGGGGAGAGACTGAAGCCCCTTTCTCCACGAAGGAAATCCACTGCCCAACCACCCCCGTCCCCACCCCCGCCCCGGCATCCGTCTTTCTGCCGGGGCGCTTGGGGGTGAGTAGAGGTGCTGGGAAATGTCCGAGCAAAGTCCGAGATGGGAGCGAGCACTCACGCGCCAGGTACTGGACCTTTCTCCATCCTGCAGGGAGGAACGTGGGGAGTCACCGACACGCGCAAGCAGGGACCCCCAGGCACCGTGGGGCCCGGGGCCCGGAACTGACTGAGTTCGTCCTGCAGCTTTTCTGGAGATAAGCAGAAAGAAAAGCGCTGTCCCGGGGATGGAGGGGCGGGCCTCTGGAAACAACGCTTAGCAGCGAGCCACGCCGGAGCGCGCGGGGGAGTGGGGGGTCGGGGGGCGCGCGGGGCGGGCCTCACCCTTCTCGCTGCGCGTCCGCTGCTCCTCCGCCAGCGCCGCTGCTTTCTCCGCCCGTTCCCTCTCCTTCTCCTCGGCCAGGGCCTTGTTCTCCTTCTGCTGTCGCCACAGGAAGCACCCCGCCCCCACCAGGAGCCCCAGCAGGGTGGGCAGGGTCCACGCGAGGGCCGCCACCCCGGGCCTCGCCCTCCAGAAGAAGGGGCCTGCAATGGGACAGGCTCAGCCGCTGACCTCGGGCGGGGTCAAGGGGTAGCTCGGGACCAGAAGTGATTGTTCTCATCCTAAAGCGCCCCAGAACTTGGGGTGACAGGTCGGTAAACGCCCACCATCACATAATACTATTACTTGTCTCGAAATGTCTGCTTCTCACATGGGAATGGTTCAAATATCAAAAAATATATACAAAGTCATTTAAGTCTCCCATTGGCTCCCTCCTGCCTCCCAGGTTGTTAGCTGCTCATTAGCTCAGTATGGTGACTGAGAATGTGAACTTTGGGGCCGGAGGGCCTGGGTTCAAATTCTGACTCTTTTACCTGACTAGCACTGCGACCTTGAACTGTCTACGCACTCTGTTCCCAGATTCTAATCTATAAAAATGGGGTCACAATAGTACCTAACTCATGAGGGTAAAGGATTAAATGCTTATGAAGTGCCCCACACAGAGTGAGTGCCATGTGTTTATAAAATTTAAAAAACATACTCATAAATATATTCTTATTTTTTTCTTGTGTACACCAAAGACAGTGCTCTATGAAAGCTGGCCTGCACCCTGTTTTTCTCTGTCAGTCATGCCTCTTGTCAGCTTTCCATATCAGCGCAGCACGTGTCTGTGTCAGTGCAGACATGAGAGTTGTCCTTGGAGGGCATCTGCACCGTTCCTAACTTTGTGCTGTTATAATTAATGCTACAAGAAATAGCCATTTACATGGGCCATTTCATACAAGTACATCTGTCAGATATATTCCCCAAAGTGGGATTTTGGATCAATAAATAAGTATTTGGATAAAGATTGCTATAGTGCCCCCAATAGAAGTTGTGCCAGTTTATACCAAAATTATACCGAGTTACACCAACACATGTCTAAGAGTGACTGTCTCCCACAATCCTGCCATCAGAATGTGTTATCAACCACCTTGGTTTTCTTTGTTTTGTTTTGTTTTTGCCAGTCTCAGGAGAGGAAATGTTTTAATACATGTTTCCTTATTGAGTGAGATTGGACATCATGTCATGTCTTATTTCCTTTTCTGTGAACTGATAATTTATGTCCTTTGCTCATTTTTCTGCTGGGTTGTTTTATATTTTAAGGAGGTTTGCCCTTTCTCTAAGCTATGGGTTGTACAGATTTCCCCCCATTTTCTCATGTTTCTGCTTGAGATTCTGATCTTTACCATTTGTCCCCAGCTCCCATGGCCTGTCATAGTTTGTGGCACACAGGAACTGCTCAGTAAATGTTTGTGACATAACAGCTTTCCAGGAGCTGGAAGCTCCCTGTTCCTGCTCGGTGCCTTACGCTCATGGCACACACCCAGGTCAGCAGCAGATAATCATGTCCCTGTCCCAATAGCTGCAGTGCAGTGCAGTGCAGTGTACCTGAGGCGGGGCAGGGCACTCACCTGCAATGGAGACCCTGGCTGTCTTTTCCTGGACCAGCAGGGGATTTCTGATGACACAGGAGATCCCCTCCCCAGAGCTGCCCTCCACGATCACGGATGCTGTGGCAGTATACAGGCCTGCTCTGTCTGCAACCAGGGGTGCTGCCCCCGCAGGCAAGCTCTGTCCCCTGATATCTCTCCACTGTATCTGGGGCTGGGGGTACCAGCCGACAGACGTGCACTCCAGACGGATCCCTCCATCCTCATAATCTTTCACTACAATGTGAAGATCAGAGCCCAGTGCTGTGGAAGGAAAAAGGAGCCTGAATTACCGGGAGCCTCCTGTTTCAGTGAGGGTGGCAACAGGCATGGAGTCACATTCACATAGGGTGACTCAAGCAGGTTTCACTCAAGAGCAGCTTACAAACGTGTGCTGCTGGAGATGCTGTTTTCAGGATATGGCTGCTGCCGGCCAGCTGCTGGCCCCTCATGCTGGATCCAGCCAGATCTGGACCACAGCGGAGAGTGCTTCCTGCAACCCCCTTAGAGACTGCCAGGCAGGCCCTCGCGCTGACCCAGGTCAGCTTGTGAGGTGGCTCCCCCTATCTCCGGTGGGTCTGCCCTTCGTGTCCTGCCACCCCCCAGCCCCCACCCCCACCCCCGGCCTTAGCCCTGGCCCTGTGGTGCAGATGATATGCACAATCCTTGTCTTGCCTCATATGTAAGTTCCCTTAATAAACTCTTGATGTAATTAATGCAGCCTCTTTTTCTGGTCTCTTGACCCAGGGAAATTTTCCTAACACATGGTTATAGAGAGGGGAAAACTTCACGGGCTAGAGCTGGCCCAGGGCCAGGGACACTGGAGCTGTTACTACCCACCCCTAAACCGCTAAACCCAAGGGGAGGCCAGAGGAAGCCTTTTGAAGACCTGAAAGAACAGAGTCACATAGTGGGGGCTTTCTTAAGAGGAGCTGTGATCTCCAGGAAGGAACTATAGCCAGTTCCTTCCATCCTCTGCTCTGGCTCCCCGCTGACCAGCCCAGGCAGGAGCCACAGGGCAAGGGAGCGCCGGAGAAAGGGAAATGCAGCCCTGCTGCGTGGACTTTGGCCTGGCTTCCTGTGGGACATGAGCAATTTTCTGCAATGTCAGGGTCAGACAAGGGCACTTAGTTACTGCGATGGGTCAGGACAAAATCGAGACCGCTCAACTATCGGGGTTGAGCGTAGAGGAAAACAGACAGTGTCCAGACCACAGCAGTGATGCAACCTGCTCTGTCCTGCTGTGCATGCCTGCAGCTCCATTCTCAGTCACAGCCCTGCATCTCCCTGACAGCATCCGATCCCAGCAAAGCCCATTTCCATCAGCTCCCCCAAAGCCCCTCACACAGCCAGAATTCCATACCTAGTCTTCCCTGTCGCCCTCTCACTAAGATCCCCACAGCACCCACAGGTGTGCGTTGTCCCTCACTGCAACAACAGGTGTGCTGCTGGAGGCTGGGGCTCGAGGACACTGGCAGCACGCACCTGGAGAGCCCACGACACCGCCTGGGACACGACTGTGTGCCAGTCACTGGAGAACGACTTCCTTGTTCCTATATCCCTGACTCCACTTCCCTGCTTAGACCCTGGTGGCAGCATGAGGGAGTTCTTTACTTGATACAGGAGGGACTCTTCCTGGAGTAGAACCTGTGTCTGGCAAGGGCCCCAGAGAAACAAAGTTGGGAGGCAGTGGACGCTGCTGCTCGTGAGCAGCCAGAAGTGCTCTGAGGTAGGTGTGGAGCCTATGCTCCCTGGTCCCATGGAAGAACAAGCTCAGAACAAACCCTGGGCTCACCTGCAACCTTCAGCTCCACCATGGCTTTTTCATAGACGTCGCCATCTTGGAAATAACACAGGTAGTTTCCACTGTCAGAGGCACTGACATTGTGAATCCTGAGTGCAGCCCTCCCCGCAGTGATCTCCTCTCTTGAAATCGAAGTTCTCCCTCGGTACTCTGCTATCTGTGTGTCTTCCTTCCCACTTGCGTACGTGTGTATGACCTGCCTGAGTGCAGATTGCACCCACTTCAGCTCCATGGTCTCCGCGCTCATCTTCGGGGACAGGTGACAGGGCAGCTCAGCGTCTTCACCCACCATGGCCAGGATGGGTGCAGGGGGTCCAATCACAGCAAACTGAGCTGGTCAGCAGAAGGGAGACACTCCATTAGAAGGAGCTGGGGCCTTCAGGGTAAGGCGGTGTCCCAGGCAGGGAGGGTGAGGTAAGAAACGCTTAGAGAGGAACTCAGTCCTCACAGAAGTACAGTCTGTCTCAATGGCGTGTGCATCTGCAGTCTGCATGGGCCTTCCAGGTAGGGGAGGAGTCAAAAGTGTTCTGACTGGCATTAGGCATCATAGGTAACTAACTGCTTCAGATCCATAAACACAGAACCGTTCCCTACCTGAGCAGGGGGTGAGCAGCTGAACCAAGGCAAGGTAGACAGGGAGGTGGAGCAGAGGGGAGTCCAGGGGCCTCGCCATCGTTACCTGTGATACAGAGAAAGCGATACCAGAAGGAGCTGGGCAGAAATGACAACCTGGAAGATGGAGAACTCCACATCGAGACCTCTGCCTCTCCAGGGCCGAATTGCGGTGGGACCACCACTCTTTAATAAGTGGTGTTCTGAAAACTGGACAGATACATGCAAAAAAATTAAATTGGACCACTTTCTTGCATCATGTACAAGAATAAATCCATCAAAATAGATAAAAGACTTAAATGTAAGACCCGAAACCATAAAACTCCAAGAAGAAAACATAGGCAGTGAAATCTTTGCTACTGCTCTTAGCAAAACCTTTTGGGTGTGTCTCCTCCAGCAAGGGCAACAAAAGAAAAAATAAGGACCTGAGACTGTATCAAACTAAAACCTTTTTGCAGAGCAAAGGAAACCATCAACAAAACGAAAAGACAACCTATTGAAAGGGACAAGATATTTACAAATGATATATCCAATAACGGGGAGAGGTAATATTAAAAAAATAAAAGGAACTCACACAACATTAAAAAAAAAATCCAATTAAAAAGATGGGCAGAGGACCTGAACCGATATTTCTCCAGAGAGGACATAGAGATGGCCAACAGACAGAATAAGTGTTGGAAACCCCTTTATGATTGGACGATGTGTTGGTTATCCACGCTCCAACGACTGTATATGCAGGTTGGTTCAGATTTCTCTGCATCACAAATAATTCTGCAAAGAGCAACTTTTCATATCTTTAAGGCACTTCTCTTTCAAGAACCTCTGAGAACACATTCCCAGAGAGGACATAGTCCTTTGGTCCTTTCTGACCGCAGTAAGTTCCTAGGAACATGCAGTTGTCAAGTTCCTTCATTAAGGTCATCTCCCTCCCACCAAATTTCCGAATGCGGGATCCTTACCTTTGCCCTGCCTTCCACCCTGCCCCCTCTGTTCCCCATTCACAGCGCCACACCCCTTCCCCTTAGGGCTCACTCTCAGTTTCTCAATCTCTATACTAACAGGGCCTGGGGCCTGGCTTTTACCAACCAAATTTCCCCACTTACCCCTTGGCATTCCCCGCTGGAAATCACAGAACAAAGGCGCTCAATAGTTCTCCATTATAGTTGAGTCTGCAATCTGAAGAAAAGCGGGGAAACGGAAGATAGCCTGCGAAATACAAGAAACAGTGCAAGTCGCTCTTTGAAAGCACTAGTTTTCTGATTGGCTCAGAGTGGGTGTCTCATCAGTTGCTGGGCAGAATGCAGCGGCGAAAGGTTAACATGAAAAGGGACCCTGTGTTGTATGGTACACAATGAAGAAAGGTTGCAGCCCTGATTCCCACACTGTTTGTGTCTGTGCTTCCTTATTTGAATCATTCCTGGTTATGGATGTGTGTGATCAGTATTTCATTAGATATGCCCATTTTATGTCTTTGATATCACAATAGATCTAGCAGCAGAACTAAGCAGAAAAATTAACATATGTTAATTTGCGAGGGGAGGAAGATGTGCATTAATTAAATGGCTACTGTGGCCATTTGCTAACATCTTTTACAGCAGAGTCGAATGAAAGTATGAAAGGAGAGTAACCAGGCCCGTGCCACCTTTTTTGGCACCCCTGAAATTCGGGTCTCAGATCCATCCCCGAATGATATAATTGTCAGGTTTCCAGAGGCAGTGCTGCCAGTGACTCAGTGTCATGTTTTACATTGTCCACAAATGTCCTATTTGGGGCATTGCTGACTTGTTTCATGTGCCCTCTGCGCCTCACCTGCATTTGTATTTTCACCTGTATTTGCTTCTCCTCTGCCGGGAGGAGCCTGTATTTCTGAGGTTAGACGAGATAAGATGTGAATGCATTTCTGGAAGGGGTCTTTGGCACACAGTGGATCTATCTGTGGCCTGGGACCTCCCGAGACACTTTGTTTGGGTCTCAAGATGGTGATTGTAGCTCCCAGAGCTTTGATGTGACCTTGGCTGATGGAATTTGGCTAGATACCTCTGTCTGGTAGAGTTGGCTTGTCGCTTGTGCAATATCTGTCCCCTGCTGCTTCTTAGCAATCAAACCCAATTGGGGGTGTGGGGGTGTGTGTACTGCAATGTGCTCATCTCCCTTATTGACAGGAGAGGCTGAGGGACTAAGTTTGAGCCAATGGTTTGTAGGTGGAAGTTGTTGGGTTGCCTGGACTAAGGAGAAGGAGTTTCCCTGAGGGGCAGGAGAGCCACCCATGGGTAGGTGGTGGCAGCACTGACAAAGCGAGGGCACACAGGAGGAAGAGCAGGGGGACAAGAAAGGGTGCAGAGTGCAGGGCTGGACACAGGTTTGAAAGACCTTCGGGCATCCATGATGTATGAGCCAGAGATGTTGGGGCACACTGGTTACATCCAGCTTGTGTTAGACTGAACCGGGCCTCAGGGGAACACATCAGGGTAGAAGCATCTATTGGACAAGAAACCTGTTTTAGATTAAAAACAAAAATTCCAATTTACTCACCATCCACTTTCTGGGCTTTTCTCCAGCCTGAAGTAGAACAAAGACACCCCAGGAGATAGCTGGCACTGGAGAGCGTATCAGTCATACACGGAGAAGAGGGGAGCACAAAATTTAGCTCTCTCTGAAGTTTTTCTGCCAAAGGACAAGAAATCATCAGTCACTTCCATGGTAGAGGAGCCATGTCTGTTGGGCAAAGGCCCCCTGGGACACCCCTTCCTGGGCTATGTGTGCAGTGAGTCCTAGAGCTGCCCCAGAACCAGGAAGGCCAGGCAGGCAGGGTTACAGGTCGGTGAAGTGAGTGGAGGAGGGTCGGTGGTGTTGAGCAAGGAAGGACTGCATTAAAGACCTCCATCAAAACACCCCCTGACTACTCATCTTTATCCTCTCCCTTCCCCTCCATCCAAGGGAACCGTTCCGCAGTCTCCTTTGGTTCACTGCTCCGTCTTCTGAACACCTTACCTCTGGTCTGGCATTCTCGCTCTTCATCCCAAGAAGTTTCCAGAGGACACAAAAAGCGCCAAGTAGAAGTCCCCAAAAGAGCAAGAGTGACGAGCGACGAGAGTGACATCAGACTGTTGTCCAAAGAAAGCCCCTCAGGAAGAGCGAGCCGGAGCAGGAGGTGCTGAGCTGGAAGTGCTGAGCACGATCCCAGCGGGGAAAGGTGGGGAAAGGGCCACGGAGGATGCCTCGAGGACCCTCTGATTCCTGGTCCAGGACGGTGGTAGCGAGGGGCCAGGCCGGGGACTGACTCCCACAGGGTGGTGGGGAGACCAAGAAGCCTTGAGAGTCATTGTGGGGGGAGAAAAGGCTCTGGGACCCAGTGTTAGACCAGAGAGGCACCAATCGCTCCTGGGATATGGAACAGAAGCTGGGACCCGGAGGAATGGGCCGGAAGACACAGTCTGAGACCCAGCTTCACTTTTGTGCATAACACTTATCAGGTTGTATGCCTTTCTGTGTGTAGTATCTGTCTCCCTGCTCTAGAACGGAAGCCACACAGGGGCAGACATGTTTGTTTTGTCTTCTGTTGGAGCCCCAGCGCCTGAAAGAGAAGGTAGGTAGGATGACCCCATAAAGTACGTTGCATTTTTATTTGTAAATTGAGCAACCTTAAACATAGGGGACCCTAAGTAAATATTTGTGGAGTGAAGGAATATTGTTTTCTGCTCAGAGCTTCAGGGGGGAAACACACACCAAGCAAGGCAACAGGCAGAGGGGAGGGGTCTGGGAGGCAAGAGGACCTGTGTTCCGCCCGCCCCTAAGCAGACTCCTGTGTCTGCTGTGAGCCAGCCGCCATGCTGAGTGCAGAGCTGGGGGGCCCCTTACCCGCCCCTCGCTTACACCTCCATCTCCACCTACAGTCCAGGCTCAGATGCTCACATTTCTCTGCTCCTCCTCTCATTGACTCAGGCTTTGGGTCACTTTGTAACTCAGACTCTGGGTGAGTCCAGGGTTTAGTCAGGACCCTCTAATGTCTCCAGCACCTCGAACGGGTGTTCCTATCAGTGCGCGCAGGTATCCAAGGCCCGGGTATCACCGTTGGCAGGGCTCCCAGGACTCCATGCAGAGTTGTATCTGGCGGGGACACCTGTCTCTGTGCTGCCCCAGTGCTGGAACACTTCATGACAGGGATGAATGGTGGACTGTACATCGCTCACCCGACATCTGTGATATAAGAAATCGATGGTTTCAGAGAAAGAGGCCCAGTGTAGAGACTGGCCCATGCAGACCTGCACTGGTCATTCCCACCACAGTCTCACCATGTGGCGCTCACGTCACTTGGCACGAGGCCCTTGAGCTCAGCAGGCTGGCCGGCCGCACCTCAGGTGTGTGGTTGGGAGAAAGCAGGTGATGAGCTGTGAGTCCTGTGAGTGGAGAACAAGCCAGAGAAAAACAACTCTGTATTAAAACATAATAAAAAATAAAGCACAACGCAGGATGCATCTGCTGAGCACTTTTACATCTTTGGTCCTCCAGGGATTTGCAGAAGGTAGGGGACAGTGGGGATGGGGAGCTGTCACTGCGAAGCAAATTCAGGTGGGGATGAAGTCAGAGAATGTGCAACTTTGTTCTTAGAATAGAACTTTAATTGTGGCAGGTAGAATGGATAAAGCTACTGAAATGAAGCTCAGGAAAGATGCAGGTCCAGTGAGTCATCACGTATTAATACCCTCAGGACACTTTGGTGGGATAAGTGCTCTGCAAGCTCCCTTCAGAATCTGAACGTCTCCCTGACTACCAGCATTCGAGGCAGCCTGACCCAGCTGCAGGCATGGACCGTGCTCTTGACCGAGGAGCACAGCATTTTGTATGAGTGTGAGCTCCGGGCTTCTCCATCTGCGCTCACGTCTGGCTGCACCAGCTTCAATGGCTGTGTTACCACCTTGGGCATATTGTTAACCTTGCTAATCTCCTCCACCACATGGGTTGAGTCATAGTGAGACTTCATAGGAGGGCTAAGAAGATGGAGAAAGGTGTGCATGCGAAGCCTTTGGAACAGTCAGTGCCGATACCCAATGCTCAGCAAGTATGAGCCGTCACTTGAATAACTCTTACTCCAATTTACCCAATTATGTGGTTATTCATCAAGCTCTCCCTCTAGATTGCAAATCCTTGAAGGGAGAGGTGCCTGGGCTGGTAATTCTTTATTTGCCCTCCCCTCCCCTTCCCTCCACCCTAGTCCAGTCCCTATGCCTGTCCAGTTGGCTCAGGCCTCAGAGGCTGACCTGTGAGTACTGCGTCGGCAGCCTTTGCTGCTGGAGTTGGGGGGGAAGGGGCTGCCAAGAGGAGGCAACAGCAGAAGCCCCAAAGGGTGGAAGGGCAAACACTCCAGGAGTCTGTTCCCCTAGCTCGCTCTCCACTGGGCCCAGGTGACAGTGGCTGCCTCCTGCTCTAGAGGCCTCAGCTCTGTTGGGACCCTCTACTACAGCTACAAGTCTCATCTGCTTTGAAAATACTCCCCCCCTTGCTCCTTCAGACCCACTGATGGTGGCTCCTGCTGTAACCCCAGGGTATGCCACCATTTCTTGTTGGTGTCCCGTAAACCTTGCCCTGACCTTTGCAAATTGTTACTCCATTAAACCCCCTGCAATGGCCTTTCTGGACTGTGTCCCATTTCTTTCCAGGACTGGGATTGATTTGATTATTTATCTCACTCATTTGTTCATGTCTTCAAATGTCCTCTCATCCATGAAAGCCTTCGTTGATTCTTATTGCCAGAAACACTCCTTCCTAGGGACATTCAAAATATGCTATATAAGGCAGGAGGGGAGCCTGAAACTCCACTAATCCTATCAATTCGGGCTTTTTGGACCTGAGTCTTCTCAGAATTCACAATATCTCTGATCCAGTCCAGCTCCCCTCCTTTTCTCCTTATCTTTTTGCAGAAGGCAATCGAGGCTAAGGTGCTTTAATGGACTTGTCCAAACTCTAAGCTAGTTGGTTTCCTGGTGTTTAGCTTAGTGGTCTTTCCCCGGCCCCAGGCTGCTCCAGCTTATCTCAGATCTGGAAGTTTCCTGGAGGAAATAGACCAGGGCCCCAGGCATTTGGAGACTAGAGTTGGCAGTTTTGCCTTTGCATTCAGGCAGAGAGATGTCACACAACAGTGCAAAATTCCTTGGCAAAAGCACAGGCCACAGGCGGTGGTCCTTTTCCTGCCCCAGCAGAG